AACATTGAGTTGGTAAATTTCTCCGAATCCCTTTAGTTAAAAACCTGTGAGGTACATCTGCTCCTCAACTTTATTGGGAGATCCTTAGGTCTCTTGAATCTCGTGATCGACCCCTGTTGGCCAAGCCCGGTTTGTTCGACAGATTCTTTTGGATATGAGATTTCCTGAGACATTGATTGTATGCGCTTTTATCAATCTGATCGACCCCTGTAGGGCCAGCCGGCTTGTGCGACAGATTTTTTTTTTAAGATATGAGATTTTCTGAGACATTGATTGCATGCGCTTTTATCAATCTGATCGACCCCTGTATGGCCAAGCCGGGTTGTGCGACAGATTTTTTTTTTAAGATATGAGATTTTCTGAGAGATTGATTGCATGCGCTTTTATCAATCTGATCGACCCCTGTATGGCCAAGCCGGGGTCATAGATTGCATGCGTGTGTCAATCATAACAGACATTGAATTTGTTATTCTTTCCGTGAACTCATTTAAGTTAAAGGGGGAACGCGGCGGAGGGTGAAAATCGTTAGTTTCTGTCCAAACTCGATGATCGACCGTACCAGACGTTGTCGGATGCAAGTTAGAGGCTTTCTGTTTGACCGGTAAAATGCATCTGCTCCTCAACAATATTGGGAGAGTGGGATGAGCGACGGGGTCTCTTCTCCTCATAAGGTGAGACGGCGCCCTCGCGCGACACTCGCGCTTTTACGCTTTATACATCATTACAGACATTGAATTCCGAACTCAATTAAGTTAAAAGGGGGAACGCGGCAGAGGGTGAAGATCGTTAGTTTCTGGCCAAACTCGATGATCGACCGTACCATACGTTGCCGATGCAAGTTAGAGGCACTTTCTTTTTGACCGGTAAAATGCATCTGCTCCTCAACTTTTGGGAGAGTGGGATGAACGATTGGTTCTCTTCTCCTCATAAGGTGAGACGGCGCCCTCGCTCGACACTCGCTTGTAACCCACGTGATTAATATGGCCACCAAGGGCTTAATCACTTGTTTTTACTTGATGCTCTAGTAATCTTTGTAATCAGGATTGTTGATACATGCCTTGTAGAGCTTGTCAATTTTCTCCTTTGACAGAGGCTCGCAATAGCTGCACCTTGACTTTTGTGTGCAGCTGCTTGCATGATAGACATCTAGGGTGAGGGTCACCAGGTATCTGGTGTTGCCCACAGCCTGAACAGACGGGTGTCTGTCCTTGAGATGAAGATCTCATCTAACAAAACGTTTCTAACTAATTACTTACCAGAACTTCCGATCTTCTTATACCCCCGTTCTCTGCTTGTAGAACTGCTCGCTGCTTGTAGCCTATGAAGCTTGAGAAGATCTAATGTGCTTTGTAAGTGTGGAACTCAATCACGTGTACGGATGTGCAACAAAATATTTTCCTTGTTGTCATCTGGACACACAGGAAAGAAGTGACTACATTCCCGCCTTGCGCATGCGTGGTGGCGCCCCTGGCAAGGGATAGGGTTTCCCTCACAACTATGGATATCTTGGCAGTGTGGTGGACGTCTGTTGAAAATTTATAAAAAATTTATAGTGTGGTTCTCAGCATAAACAGGAATTTATGGCACTGATGTGATAGAGGTGAGGTATTCACAAGAATTATGTGCATGTTGGAGGACTTGTCAAACACGCTTGTGGAGTGGACACAGCCTAGTAAATGACGGGAGTTTGTTGATATTGTGATGTGATTCACATGCTAATGATCGAATAGCTGTTGATAAACTAACACGGTATCTGGAGATTTAGTGCCAAGCTGTCCCCCTTCAAGAAGTTCATTTAGTTCAATATCGGACACAGGATCAGCTCCCCGAGGTAAGTTTTCTTTTCCTTGTATTTATTTTTTTTTTTTTATTTCTTTACCTCTCCGAGTTCAGCAAAGTGCATCGATTTCGCGAGCAGATGTTGGTAATCATGTCGCTAAGGTAACGCTCTTTGCTACCCTTGATCCCCTTCAAAGGAGACAGTTCGAATTCTGAACCGTCTGATTTGCATGCCGAAATGATAAATTTGCAAAGAATAATGCTTAGTTCCACCTTTCCTGTGTCATTTATCCCTCATGGTACCTGCCATGGACGTCAGTCAGTCAGTCTGCATACGGCACACTGCCGCGCTGTGCTGACGTCGAATTTTAAGTTACTAAAACGTATACATTGTATAAAAAGTGTCACAACGTTCTTATTCATTCACACAACGTTACAAAATTCTACGAAACAATGGATCTTATATGTTGTCTTTCCGAAAGTTGTTGCAAAATGAGTTTGTTTTTATTCCGATGCCATCGTTGAAAGTGAGAGTAGTCTTATTTTTCGTGTTTATCTTACCTGTATAAATTTGTGAACTAAGTTTATGTCAACTTGTCAAGTTTAGTCTTTTTCATTGTGTTTTCATTTTCATTGGCAGTTATCCATGTCATCATCGTTCACAAAGGCAAACTGTCTGTACAGTACTACTAAGTCCGATTTTTGGATTCGGTGGTCGAAACAATCATCAAACAGCAAGTCCTCTGACTCAGATCCAAACCCGGGCTTGGCGGCGCAACAGTTTTTGGCACCATGGAATCTGAATCTTGGAACTTCAATCTGACCATATGCAGTTTTGACAACAAAGACATTAAATGTGTTCAGGGGTTGAATTATGCAAATAACTCTTCATGTCAGTCAGATCTCCATCCGCTTTAACGAGGTCATTTACTTTGACAGGTGTCAAATGGTATGTAATGTTTGTTTACAAACAACGCAGACATAGTTTTGTTTCTTTCTTTAAAATGAAAATCATGTGAAATAAATAAAAAAATAATATTAAATCATGTTGTTGATATGTTTCTTGTCTTAAAAATATCGAGTCAATGAGATTGTAGCAAGTAAAAACATGGGAATGAAAGGGGTTGATTTGTGAATGAATGGGATGAGAAAAAATATAGTCTCATTGTCCGATGAAAATTGATGTTTGTTCAACTGACCAATCAGCTTCGAGAATCACTAATTGCACACTGTGCAAATATCAAAAAGATATTATACTGCATATTTTGACTCATATGGGTAATAAATATGTATAATCTATGAAGTACAATGGTACACTACTTTTCATGTTTTGCTTTTGAGGCAGTGATGACATATGATTTCATATTGCACTCCTTCCAGTTATTTCACTGTTTGACTTTTGATTGAACTTCTCCGTTTCTGTATCAAGCATGAAAAATGCTTGAACATGTGCATTGCTGTCGTTATTATTTATTGTTGCATGTTCCAACCAACTAAATAAATATTACGATTGGGGATAATTGAATGTGGTTCGGTATGAGTATATATTATATTGTAATTACTTGGTTTCATTTAAGTATTCCTGTGATGAGCAGAATATTACTTAGGCCAATAGTGATTGCTAGCACCTGTCAGTGATGCAGAAAGGTGACACAAGCAGTTTAAACCATCGCTAAACTACCCCCATGGCTGGTTTATATTTTTCAGCTTAAACTGGTGGTGAAGACTACGGTTTCCGTTAAAAACGTTTCGATAATACCGGACTGGTTTAAACTGACTATTTATACCTGGTCCATGGCTAAACTTCCTCTAAACCACAGTGCCTTATATTTATCAGTGTCAAGTATTATAAGGCTCTTACAATATTAAATACTTTAAAACGAAATAGATTTCACATTTTCATTGCAAGGATTTTACAAATGTCAAATGTTTTTCATTAGCAACTATATATTTAAACAAGAAAATGTGGGGATCAAATCTTGGATTTTACATTGTGAGGTGTCAAATATTGGTTATCATTTTTTTTTTATTATGTTAACATATATAAAATAAACTACAAGTCTACTGAAAGTCTAAAATTAAAGAATACGGAAATCTATGCCTTATGGACTACGTTGTTGCAGGAGGTCATCTTCTTGTGATTTGTCGTGATACCAAAAAGTATATGATTTCCATTTCGATATTTTATGTTGAAACAGTTTGGTCAACCGTGAACAAAACAATAAGAATTCTCACCTGGATAGTTGATTTACAATTCATGGCCGAGCTGGTCTTAGCATAGTGCAGTTACGTACGCCCCTTTTCCTTTGCAGCCCTCAGTCGCCTTTTGACGGCATATTGAAAACTCGATTTCCGTCATTTATAACGGGAACGGGTCAAAGGGGCCACAAGAGCCGCACTAATGGGTCAAAAGGTCCACTTGAAAAACTTAAATTAATAAAAAACAACAACCCCAAAACACACCAAAAAAACCATACAAGATGAAGTTCTATGTCGCTACTTTTGATTTGTGGTCCTTTTGACGTTTTAGTGTAGATCTATCCTTTTTCACTTTTTTTGGGTTGGCGATTTGACTAGGGTACGTTTGAGGCTTTTTTTACTTTTTTTTGGTGGCCGTTTTGACCAATGTGTTTGTGGCCCTTTTGACTACAATCCTTTGTAACAAGTTATTTTCGGTAACGAATATGTAACATCACACAAATATTCTTTACAAATCCACTTGAAATAGCATTGTCTAATATGGACTATTTTGCTCTCGTTCAGTTTACATAGATGTTGTTGTTTTTCAAACCAATTACAGTAATCTTTATTTGCCATTTATTTCATACCATCATATATAAAATTAGATATTCTACATCCCTCAAAATGGCAGGTACTTATTTGAAAACATCATTGTTTACTTTCATTGAGTGGATTTGTACGTTTGTAAATACATGGGGTAAAACATGCCTGAAAAAAGTTCTTCTAGATCTGTATTTATTTTTGGCATTGCAACCACCTTGGACGCGTTTTACGTGGTAGTTGTTATACATACGTTGAGTACTTTGATATCCTATCTTCACGGTACAGAATACAGGACCATCGCAGAGGATTACAGTTGTTTTGTATGGCCGTTTTTGTAAAAATAACTAGGTTAGTTTGGTATTGGTCCACTTTCCGTGATTAAGCTCCTCACAGCGATAGCCCGTTCGCGGAGCTCTCTATACCACCGAGAGTGTAACGAAGGTGTCACGCGCTGGGAAGGAGCTCGTTCCGTGATAAACGAAGGGCGATAACTCGGTCTCTTACCATGTGAAAGCAAAGACTTGTGCGGACCGAGACTTGGGTAACGGTTTGAAGTGATTGACGAAGTAACGTTTCTGGCAGGAACGGTGTTTCGAAACTTTGGCAATATATGCTACATGTAATTGCATGATAATCATAGTAGCATTTGTTTCTTTTAAAGTGAAAGGCAGTTGATTGATGCCTCTTTTCAGCGCTACTTAAATAATATCGATACTCAATACTTGACACACCTTCTTGACAGGTAAGCTCACAGTTACACCTTATCAGGCGACCGTGCCCAACAAGGAGACATTTTCCGAAGCAGGTGATACCCCGTTTTTATGCATCTTCACACCATGCGATCTAAACAGCAGCTAAGGTTGTCCACCATAGATTTGCATTGATAGTGGGATGATTCAACAACCCCTGGATGCCATAGGGACATATATATATATATATATATATATATATATGTCCCTCCTCTACAACCCTCACTTTGAAGTCGAAATAAAATTAAAAATACATCGCCCACACAGATACACTTCACAGTTTTGAATAAGGTGGGACATTTCCTGTTCTGTGATATCATCCACTGGCATCTTAGGCCAAACAAAGGTACTGAAAATGACCTCTGAAAATTAGGTACATCGTAAATGTCGCCATTTTTTATACACTACCAAAATCACCAATCACGGCGTTATTTACAGCATGTTATGAAATCTACATTTTGGATATTTACTTGGAGAAATGAATTTCAAAAATAGGATATTAGTGATCACGGGTATCTGTCTTTTATGAAATCACCAATGATCATTCCAAAACATCTCCAATAACCCTAGAATCGCTTAGAATGTTTTGGAAAATATGCAAACCTAACGCCGAAGTGAACCTTCTGCCATATTGTATAGTGTTTACAAAATCACGTTTCCGCACACCAGTTATGAGACGCCTGTAACATCACGTATATGTCAAACTTAGCTGAGATACAAACATCCTTGAATTCCTCATACATTTTAGAAACAAATGACAAATGGTCTTTGCTTCCTCATGAACAAATCACCACGAAAATATATTGTCCTTATCCACAGCTAATTCTTACCAAATGACCTGAGTTAAATAAACTATAGAGGCGGTCGGGTAGCCTAGTGGTTAAAGCATTTGCTCATCAGAACACCCGAAACACTCCCTAATGCCCCAATGCATATGGAACATGCAACTCTCTGTGCATGTAGGTAAGGGATCATTTTATATTTTGAGGGAAGGGCCATCAAATCACTCTGGGCCATTAGTTGTGTTTATTTTTATTATCCACAGTACCATGAAAGCAGTCTACTCTTTCTGTATGCAGTATTTGTGATCAGATTGGGAATGCCTCGTCTACAGCGTTATCAATGTCTGTTGGCTTGCTTCAAACTGATAGAACTCAGCAAGAGGTAGCCAATTTTTTATATTATCCTGTATCACTACTTAAAGGGCAAGTTCACACGGAAATGAACCTAATTTTCTTGCACTTTTTCCACAATAAAAGTGTTAACCTAGAAGTGTCATAGATAAAAATATTACAATTAATCAACATATGTTTTGCATTAAAACGATTTATATTTTTCACATTTACCAAGTGTTCTATTTCCATAACAAAAACACCATGGCTTATGCCCCTTGCAATATGACGTCATTGGTGCCAATTGATAAACATTATGACGTCATCATGCTTTGTTAGAGCCGCTTCACGTGGTGTAGGTACAGGTGTGTGATTCTAGCGTCTCAGATGCCAGCCAGCATAGTGTTATGCTGAGTCACCACTGCGCCGGAGTGTGTCGTAGGCCATGTTGTTTTACCGAAAACTTGAACTTGATATCTTTTGCGTTCAGAATAGACAGGGACCCAGTTGAATTGGCACCAATTACGTCATAATCTAAGGGAGATAACTCAGGCCTGTTTAGCTCGAAAAACGAAGGCCTCATAACGGCATATCATTTTCACACTATTGTGAGCTTCCTACTTTCACTGTGAAAAAAATGAGTGTATATTTTCAAACACAGATACTAACTAATTCTAAAATTGCGTTTTGTTTAGAAAAAGAAAGAAAGTAATTTTTGCGTGTACACTTCCCCTTTAATGCTTCTACTGTTATTTTCTTTGACATCTGAGACAGAGCTGTGGGAGGTCCTGGCTTCCAAAATAGTTGGACCTACCAAGTTGTGTGGCTTGCACCCTCACAGCTAAACCCACATTGAGACCTTTAGAGTACAGTACCATTTTTGCGTGAGGACGGTTGCTGCCTTAGGCCATGTGTCTCAAAGACAAGGAACCAGATTTTGTGAGAATCGCGACCTTCGGATTGTTGGCCTGCCAGCTAACCGACCGAGCTACGTTCACACTGAAAACTAAGTGCGAATTTACCTAGTCATGCCTACTCTGTTATGGAACTGAACAAAATGGTCAAATGGGTGACGGACACTTACGAAGGTTACAGGTAGCCATGGTGTCTCATGACTTTAGTCTACGTACACTTACGAGTGATCCTGATGCCATTTCGTACACTCATCCCATTCTGTTATCTACAAGATACCGAGTGGTGAGGAATGAGCCGATATGATGCGAACGGAAAATTGATCCAGGCGCCAGGTGTTATTCCCACTCGGGTCTTAACCAGGTATCAGATTGGATGGCAGACTGGTTGACCTCTGTTGCTCTATACCCTAGTTTTAATGTCAAGAATAGTGAGACTATTTTGTCCGCCCCAACATCCATTCCACCGACCCTATGCTTACGCATTTAATCTCAGCTAGATGATGATTTTTCTAAGTTATCACTCTTTCCGGCTCCTTGTCATAGGCAACTTGATTTTCACATGCATGCCTTTGAAGTTGCGGACAATCTGCATACATTGGATGACGACCTACATCATATGACATTTCTATGGCCCAGTGGTTATTTACCCAGATCATCAAGCCAATTACCGCTTACCTACACCTGAGGAACGTTCAGTTTGAGTCTTACATCGACGACTGCATACTGAATCACCAAGATACGGAAACCCTTCTACTTCACAGGGATTTCACACATCGTCTACTCAGACAGCTGGGATGGGTCATCAATGAGCCCAAGTCGAAACTCACCCCGTCTTGCGAGCTCCAATTCATAGGCGGCTTCTTTCGAACGGACCAGGTTCTCCTAGTATTATCTGCTACCGGCCCTTCACCAAGCTCACACTCTACGCCAGTGGCAGGTGTTGTTGGGCCTTCTCACATCGGCTCAGGATCTAACAGCCAGAGGCGGACTACAACTACATCCGCTACAACAGTTTCACCCTTCTTCTTCAATGGATCACAACAGGGATGGGGGCACATCTGGAGGATCAGACTTCCTCTGGGCTGTGGTCAAACGAGCTAGAAGCACTTATCCTGGCCATCTCCCATTGGAAAAACCTGCTTCAGCGTCAAGTGCTCGCAATATCAACAGACAACATTACAATCGTTTGGTGTCTGCGCAACCAAAGGACGCACGACTCATCGTCCCTGCTGTCAAAAACCTTCGGTTTTTTCAACTAGTGAGGTTCATCATCTAGCACATCAACGGAGTGGATGCTCCACCTCGATGCCTTCTTCCTGGTTTGCCAACAATTCGGCCCGCCACTTTTTGACCTATTTGCCACCAGCTACATCTCACAACAATAGAGCTAATATCCCTGGTCCCGGATCCTCTGGCCTGGGCGGTAGACGCCTTCTGCATTCCCTAGACAGACATGAAAGCGTAAAAAATTTTCACCACCTGTACTTCTTACCAGGGTTCTACAGACGATCAAACACACAGAGAAATATCTCTGCTTCTGTTCCCGCCTTGGTTCAGAATTGGTTTGTAGACCTTCGAGACCTCGAAAACAGAGACCCTCTCGAACTCCCAGGGTGGCCACTCTTGCTGAGACACCCTTACAGGTGTATTGCTAAAGGTAATTCAACCAGAGTGGCGAAGGCTATTGCCTTAGCTCATAAACCTTCAACATACTCCTTATGTGATGATAAATGGAATTCCTTTGAATCTTTTTGCAAAGATAAAAAACAGGAACCAATGTCGGCATCACCAGAATTCTTCTCAATAAATGTCACCTCAAGGACAGTACAATTACGTCAAATTAGGTAGCCCTCAATTTGGTGTTGGCAGTTCCCAGGGATCACAAAATGACCAAGATCCCAGAACTGCAATCACCTTTGCGGTCATTTTGACTGGAGGAACAACATGCCAAGTTTGGTCCCCCTGCTTGGGATTTAAACGTGATACTAAAGTGACTCCGTACCACTCCTTTTGAACCACTTGACTCAGCGTCTTTCTTTAGTCTCAACAAAAAGATGGTATTACTACTAGCCTTGGCTACGGCAGCTTGAGTCAGTGAGTTACACGTCCTAGACATCTCCTGAGTATGGTTCGAGCACGGAGCGCACGGAGCTGTCAACCTTTAGTTGTACTGGGATTTCAGCGCAAAAAATCAACTCCCAGGACAGCCAGACAGATCTTTCACTGATCCCCCTTATCTTCGATATGGGGATCCACAGACGAGGATGGACCACTTTTGTGCCCTGTGCATCCCCTAAAAGTTTTCCTTTGTCAATCCAATACACAACGTGGATCTTGGAAATGACTATTTATTCCGGTCTCGCTTTCATCCAAAACGGAAGTCAGTCAAAACACTATCTCACTGTGATTGCGCTCCATCATATTGCAGGCTTATGAACTAGCAGGCTTGGTCCCACCTAGACCCAACAACCCTCATGAGATTTGAGCTGCCGCTTCGACTATGGCTCTTCACAGCAACTGTCCCATTCAATCTATTATTTCTGGCACCCGGATAGAGTCTTCGACAGTTTCAGGGGTTCACTGGTGGTAGCGCAACAAATCACCAACGCCAGGTGAACCTGATTACTACAAGTAGTATAGATGATGGGGGTTCTGGCTCACTTCCACTGGAGCCAGATTCATATACCTATACCACGACTACAGAGGGAATTTTTTATGTCAAAATGATCATGCTTTTAACAATCGTCATGATTCGTATTAAAAGAATCATCAATATTAATTTATAATGAATAAAATTTACTATAGCCCACGAGGATATTGGAAAGGTATAGGAGCAATAAAAAA